TGGTCGTCCGCTCTCCACAGTCCGTCATAAGAATGCCGTCAACAAGTAGTAGTAGTAGTAAAATTATGTTTATTTCTGTTGATTATGGTAGTACATTGATTTATCATTTTAATTGATTAGCCTACCTGGCTCTTCATCTTTGTTTAATTTGATATTCTAATTTAATATTTGCGGTTTTTCAACTAGTTTACAGAATATCCATTTGGGGATGTGATCACGTATGATCTGATGATTTGATCTCAGACAGGTGTCTCTGAACCTTTCCAGGATGAATACTCTCCGTTCTTCTAATGTCTGAATTCCAGCTAGGAGGTGGAATGTTTAGGACCATCCTAAGGATCTTGTTCTGGATCCTTTGGAGTTTAAGGTGATGGCATTTTGCGCAGCTCTCCCAGATTGGCATACCGTATTCGATTACAGGAAGGATGATTTGTTTGTAGACAGCTTATTTTTCAGGGACAGGGCTGACTTCATGTTGATAAGTGGATACAACGAGCTTATCAAGATGTTGCACTTGGTTTTCGTTTTGTCAACGTGCTCCCTGAAAAGAAGCTTGCTGTCTAGTGTTAGCCCGAAATACACGACCTCTTTGGACCATTCCACCACTGTGCCGTTCATGCAGATCTTGTTATTCTCCGACGGAACAAGTCTGGGAGATTTAGAGTGTGGAAAGATAATGACCTGGGTCTTTGCCGCGTTGATACGGATCTTCCAGCTGTTGAAGTATTCAGACAGGACGTCTAGGCCTCTATGAAGTTTAGCAGTCAGAGCTCCGATGACCCTACCCTTGTAGACGTGGATGTGTCATCTGCGAACAGAGACAACGATCAGGGAGAGCCGGCATATCGGAGGTGAACAGGTTGAATAGGATGGGGCCAAGGATGCTTCCTTGTGGAACCCCGGCACCGATGTTGAAAGCATCCGATGTGATGCCATTCAGAGAGACTCGGAACGTCCTGTCCGATAGATAGTTGTTTATTATTTTCACTAGGAAGATTGGAAGACCGTACTGCTGCAATTTGAACACCAGGCCATCATGCCAGACATTGTCGAACGCTTTTTCAACGTCCAACAACGCCATGGCAGATGTTTTCGAAACAGACTTGTTCCATCTGAGAATGTTTGTTACTCGAGTCAGCTGGTGGACGGTCGAACGACCTTTCCGAAAACCAAACTGTTCCTCGAGTAACAAGTTGTTTTCATCGGCAGATGTTAGGAGCCGGTAGTACAGTGCTCTTTCGAACAGTTTTAATAACCCTGAAAGAAGGCTGATTGATCGATAACTTGAAGGAGAGGACGGATCCTTCCCAGGTTTCCGGATGGGTATGACTTTAGCTGACTTCCAACACGAGGGGAAGTAGCCAAGTCTGAGGCACTGATTAAAAATCAGTGCCAGATGGTTGTAGAATCTGGAACTCAAGTGTTTGAGTTCCAGATTCAGGATGTTGTCGAAACCTGGGGCCTTCAAGTTTTTAGATGATTTGTTATAGGCCAACAGTTCGTCAGCCGTAATCTCGGATTCCTCTGGAAAAATGTTAGGAATCTGAAGAACATTGGTTGCATTTTCAGCAACCTCAGATTCATGAGGGCTGGCGATGTTTTGTCCGAGATTATGGGAGCTGACGAAGTGTTGACCTATCGCCGCAACCTTCTCTTCAGGAGTTATCAAATGAACCACTGGGTCGCCGGGACCATCCAGCGGGGTCAGTGGGCAATGGGCCTAGGCTTGTTTTTAAGAATTTTCGTAAGTTTCCAGAAAGGCTTAGCACAATTTGGGAGAGAGCGGATCTTACTAGCAAAATCGTTATTTCTGAGATCCACCATCCTGGCCTGAATGATCTTTGTTAATCGATTACAATTGGTCTTCAAGTTAGGCAGGCCAGTACGCTGGTACTGCCTGTAGGGCTCCATACCAAATAAACACACCTTATATATTAACAACCTTGCCTTTAAATATAACATACCTGATGATTGAGAGAACCTTGGTTAAAAAAAGAGCGGGAGGATGACAGCTGGGGAGTTTTGGGGAGAACGGTAAAAAAGGGTAGAGAAAGGAGGACTCGGATGGAACAGGACGCGCATTCGATAGTCGGAGCTAACTAATCCCAATAGAACTCAATACCGGTGCCGGACGGAACCTAGGACAGAACTGAAGGAACATCCTTAAGGAAGTGTGCGGATCTAGGCAGAGCCTCTACACTGCCTACGAATGGTGTTACGGAGTCTAATGAGATCTTTGGTAGGACTGTCAAGGTTCAGAGTGTTACTCACCTGTCTGGATACTGGCGCGTGTTGTTCCCTGGCCCAGGAAATCGCCTCCTCGATGGTTTGTAGACACCGGTCAACATCTTCGGACGTCCCCGGTTGGACATCGTAGTCGATGATTGTGTCGACGCAGGTTTGATATTGCGCCCAGTTGACTCTATGGTAGTTGCGCCGGTAAGCTTCGAATCGGTTTACCGAGGATCCAACTTCGGCCACCACCGGGTAGTGGTCCGAGCTCAGCTCCTGGAATGCCACAAGTTGCGAGACGTTGTGTCCCATGTTGCTTACGAAGATGTCGATGGTCGCATGGACCCCAGACCGACTCAACCGGGTGGGAGAGTCCGGGGCCAATATGGTATAGTGGCTCTCTTGCAGGTCTTCATTGAGGATGATGCCGTTTCTATTGCTCCGACCGTTGCCCCAAGCTTGGTGTTTTGCGTTCAGATCGCCAGCGATGATAAAGTTCCCGCTCCTCCGGGTGAGTTTGATGATGTCTTTCCGGAGGGCCACTGACGACCCGTCCCTGATGTTGGTTTGCTTGGGGCAGTAGGCCGCGATGATGGTGATTTGGCCAAGTGATGTGCTCACCTCCACTCCGATGGCTTCAATTGTTTTCAGCTGGAAGTTTGGTAGCAGCCGGCAACTGATGTTCCGTCTTGCAGTGATGGCCACTCCTCCACCTCCAGAGCAGGTGCGATCAAGTCTGACGAGCCGAAAGTCGGGAAGGAATATGTTCAGTTCGGGCTTCAAATGCGTCTCGGTGATGATAGCAATGTCGACCTCCTTGGTGTTGAGGAAATCGAGTAGCTCTCTATGCTTGTTCGTCAGTGAGCAAGCGTTCCAATTTGCAATTTTTATAACTTCACGGTCCATACTTGGTGACGAGTGACAAGGCAGCATGAAACTGTTCAGATCGAGTCTTGCAGGTACGCATGATGATGAAGACCTCGGCCACGAGCGTCACAAGTTCCTCCGAGGTGAACGGAGAATCGTCGACAGATTCACCTGAGACAGCACCAGCGTATGATAAACCAGGGGCGGTGGATGAACCTGGAATTGGCTGGGCCGCAGCAACAGCGAGACGATGCTGAACTGTCCGACTGTTGGGAACCATTTGGATACTCACAGGATTGGCTTGTTGGTTGTTGAGCGGAAGCGAGGCTAGGTTCGGAACATATCGACGGGGCTGGGGAGCTGGGTACTGGACTTCCGTGAGTACAGGAGGCGAACGATGATTACGAAGGCGACCGAGCTGGTTGTTGATTGTGGCCTTCCGACGGATATTAATGAACTCCACTCGCTTGGGACATCCGCGATTAAAGGCTTGGTTGTTTCCACCGCAGTTGACACACGTTGGCTCGATGTCATCGGCTTGCTCACAGGACGCAGTTGAGTGAGTTCCAGCACACTTGCCGCAGTTTGTCTTCATGTGGCAGTTTTTGGTGCCATGGCCATATGAGAGGCAGTTCATACACTGCGTTACATCACGATGTTGGGGGTTTGTAATGCTCCCAACTGATGATGACCTGAAACAGGTCCCGGATTTTGGATCTCAGAGCCGCAATACTGGTGGATCCCTTCGTGAAATGCACCAGGAACAACTGATCACGGAAGCTGGTGTTTTGGTTGGGACGCCGGTTCATCTGGAACACGGCCTCAGGTTGGAGCCCAAGCCGCTCTAGCTCGGACTTTACCGCAGCAGCCTCAAACGACGGTAATTCACGCAAAACCACCTTCAGTGGCTTGCTCGATGGCAGATCATGCGTGAAGAAGTCCACGTTGTTGTTCTTCAGGAAACTTCCTATTTGTTTGTACTTCTCCAGGCTGGAGCACATGATTTTGGTACCGATGCTGCAAAGTTTGAAGAGAGGCAGCAGCTTGTGTTTTGCCAGTTCGGCACCTAGCTTGGCAACATCCTTCACCGGCGTGAAAAGCGGGGGAATCCGCTCTCGTCTTGCAATGGTAACGGCGTCACCATCGCCATTTTCTTCCGGGAGTACTGCATACTGGTTGGCTTGCAGTACTCGTTTTCCGGCGTCATCCTGCGACGCGCTGGGCTTGATTAGCATCTTCTTTGAAGGGCCCGCTGCTGGCTCATTGGCACGTTTACGCACCATTTGTTTCGTGTTTGCAAGTTCAAGTAAACTTGCCAGAACGCGAGAAGGTGGCGACACTTCCACGGCGCAACGCGACAGCACAAAATCGAATCGAGCTCGACAGTCGAGCAAAGAATGCCGCCATCAACGAGCTTAGGAACCTTATATTTATAACTCTAACTGTATCAAAATTCCCGAACCAATCAGATCCCGTTTACATACGGTCTATCACACTTCACGCTCACTTGATTCTACTCATTTCTATTCCACACTAACTCTATCTACTACAGTGAGATTCTCCGATGTTATTCTATTTTCTAGATTGCTCATTTATTCTCCATAAATACTTTGGGAATTCACTACACTCCTTCTGAGAGTACTTTGAACTTTTAAATGCCATGATTTTCCTTAATTTCTCTGCGGATTCTCCAAAATTCCAAATAAGATTTATATTTTCAATGCCTCAATTTTAACTTTAAAATCATATGAAGTAATATGCGTTAAGCTAACAAATTACAGAGTTGAAGATGCAAAGAACCAGCAGCAAATTTTATAATTTATCGTATTGAGGTTAGGTCCGCAAAGCGCAATTAACAATTATAAATTCAACTGACCCGATTGCGTTATTCCTACTTCCAGGAAATGGCTGGCAGTGGGCCCCAGCCGCCGGGCTTGGCAACTTAGCAGTCTGCATCAATCAACAACCGTGGCGGAAGCTCTGTATCGAGCCTCCCTGCGGTCAACTGAATCCCGCCAATCCCAATCTCTATCCAACGCTGCAAAAACTATACGCTGATTTCTCTCACCTCATTCCACCTCGAGAAATTCTTCATATGGGTGGCGATGAAGTGTTCTTTGGTTGCTGGAACGCTACCGAGGAGATTGTAGAATATTTGAAGGGCCAGAATAGGAGCCGAGGGCAGGATGATTTCCTAGAGCTGTGGGGGGAATTCCAGCAAAATGTTCTTCAACTATGGGATCGTCAGCGACGGGGAATGGAAGATTTACAGCCCACAGTCATATGGTCAAGTCATCTAACCGACCCAGCAGTCATTGAGAAGTTCTTACCAAAAGAACGATATATAGTACAAACATGGGTTGAGTCTGATATGGATCTGCCACTTGAACTGTTGCGGAAAGGCTATCGACTGATCGTTTCCACCAAGAACGCTTGGTACTTTGACCATGGATTTTGGGGCAGTACCAACTATTACAATTGGAGAAAAGTCTACAACAACAAACTACTGAAGAGTGTTAAAGTCCTCGGAGGTGAGGCCTGCATTTGGACAGAGTTTATCGATGAGAACTCACTAGGTAATTCACGAATCCATCTGCGGTTCAGCGCAAATCACTATCAATTTCAATCATTACAGACTCACGAGCATGGCCACGGTTGGCGGCGGTAGGAGAGCGCCTGTGGGCCAACCCAGAGCAGGATGCATCCAAAGCGGAAGGTCGATTCTATCGGCATCGAGACCGTTTGATATCCCGTGGATTAAGTCCGGAAGCCGTAACGCCTCAATGGTGTGAGCAGAACGAAGGACAATGTCAATAAAATTCCAGTTAGAATCGGAAGCTTTCGCAATAATTTCGAAAACATGGTTTCCTATTGGAATTGTATGAAAGTGAGTGCCTGAGGAAACGCAAAAAATAGCGTTTTCTGACAGTAGTTGACTAGTGTCACCATCGGCGAGCGGCTGAGTGGTGATGTTTTTATTTTCTTTTACTTAACAGATGTAGCTCCATTTTACTTGTTGAATAATAAAATTTCAATGCAACAAAACAGTGATTAAAGTGTTTAAATTCAGAGTGACGAAAGTTTAAGGATGGATAAATATGCCATCAGTAATCTAGTGGGTGAAGGTTCCTTTGGAAAAGTATACAAAGCTATTGATAAGCAAACCAAAACAACTGTAGCCTTGAAAATAATCAGCAAGGTAAGACTTTCATACGGACAATGGCGACGATAAACATAAACAAATAATTCCGTTGCAGAGAGGAAGATCGGGTCGGGAGCTGAAAGGTCTACGCGGAGAATGTGAAATTCAACGAAATTTACAACACCCGAACATTATTCGAATGTTGGACTCATTCGAAACGGAAAATGAAATAATCGCCGTCACTGAGTTTGCCAAAACCGACCTACACAGCCTGCTCCGCGATGGATCTCTGGGCGAGCCGAAAACACAGAGGATCACGTACGATCTGGTATCGGCTCTCTATTATCTTCACTCACATCGTATTCTGCATAGGGATTTGAAACCACAGAATATTCTAATGGACAGAAACATGACGGCAAAATTGTGTGACTTTGGATTCGCTCGAAACATGACAATGGGAACTCATGTCCTGACATCAATCAAAGGAACGCCTCTTTACATGGCTCCAGAGCTGTTGGAAGCAAAACCTTACGATCATCATGCAGATTTGTGGTCATTGGGTTGTATCATTTATGAAATGCTCGCCGGAGAGCCACCCTTCAGTTCCACATCCATGATCCATTTGGTAAAACTTATTCGCAACCAGTACATTAAATGGCCAAGTTTTCTGACTTCCAATTGCATTTCGTTCGTGCAAGGACTGCTGGAGCGAGATACTAGCCATCGGATGTCGTGGACAAAGATCATCAACCATCCATTCGTAAAGGGGCACATTGTAATATTAAAGGAAGACATCCCAGAATCACCTTTCACGAACCCCCTGACTGCTTCACAGAACAATGAAAAGCGGAAGCAGACAAATCGAATTATGTACGGAGAAAACTACGAATACCTACAGTATGGGTCGAAACGCACGCCAAAAGCCACGAAAGGATCCAATGAAGACGATCTGGCATCATCGAGAGATAGTATGAACGTAATATTGCAAAGTGACATTGAATATGTGGAAACGGATGCAGAGGAGGCAGCAACGACATCCATACTCAGGAACAGTTTGCTCGAAAGTTATAAGCTTCAAACAAAAGAGAATGATGGACTTAGACCAATCAACCCAGAAGATTTCACCGTCGAATATCACCACCCTTTGGGTGAAAATGCCGAAATCGTTCAAGACAATCCAAATCTCGTGATGAACAATTTCAACGATAACTTTCCTCTGCTGGACAAAAAAGGACAGACAATTATTTCCACAGATGAGTTAGCAAACAGACTGAATAATATTGACCTGCAGAATCAATCGCTGAAATTCAAATCGCAGGAGCTTGAACGACGGAAGCTCAGTCAGAACATTGACAATTTCTCCATCCGGTTAGAGCTGGATAAGAATGCTCAAGGCATCACCAAAAAGTCCACGGATGAACCACTTGAAACGGAAAAGAAACCGGAAAAAATCACCCCCACTCTATTGCCCGGTTGGGATTCTTGCGATGAGTCCCAAAATCCTCCGATTGAGAACGAAGAGTGGTTAGTGTTCCTGCAGAAATCTATGCAAGAAATTCTGGATGGCGAATTGGATTCGCTGAAACAACAAAATTTTGTCAGCATAATCGTTGCCCCACTCAGAAACTGTCGAGCCAGCGCCAAAGTGATTGAAAACGTTGCCCACCTGTTGAGTTTACCCCTTGCAATTGATGCGCCTCCTGCCATAATGCATGACATATTAAGCGTCTACGCAGAGCTGAAATTAGTTCCTAATCTGGTGTACGCCTCCAAGTTGCTGTGCAATAAGAAACTGAGCACGTCGAACAGCGAAAGCCATTCGTCGCCCATTCCGTTGACCACATCGAACACTTCGATTCGGCAGCTTTCCTCCCTGGATTGCGATGAAGTCAAGACTCTGACGGCCGTGTATGATTTGATTTGCTATCTGGTTCACTCGGGGGAGAACTTTTTGAAACAGTTTTGCGATGCCATTGAAATCCTCGGAGTGAAGGAGCTGTTTGTGAACTTTATCAATGCCATCCGAACGAATGAGGACTACGTACGGCTGAGCTGTGCGATCCTAGCCGTACTGAATTGTGCCTTGCGTGAACTGCCGGAGAACGCGGAGATCATCGAGCAGATTGTTTTTCACGAGAATGTCAACCTGATACAGATGCTGAGGCACAGGGATTCAATGTTGAGGTAAGGTGGCTTGACTGTATGTTGGGAGTAAACATTTATCAGTGTTTTATTTGTTCGCAGACATAGGACGTGCATGCTGTTGAGGATATTGGCGCGGTTCAGTTGTTTGGCGCTGCAAAAACATTGGAACAGTGAAATCAAAGAATCGTTGGAATCTCTTCTTGACGATCAGGATGTAGATATTAATGCGGTAAGGATTCTTCTACGCTATGATTGTTGATGGTTTCAGTCTAATGTTTAAAAACAATATCATTGCAGGAGGCGAAATGTGCATTGGATGAGTTCAAATATCTTTCCTTCATAACTGCAGATACTGCTGAGACATGTTGAGTAAACTTGGTAAAATGTCTACTGCTTCAGCTTACTTAGATATATCACAACTTCACCCTCTTAAACCTTATTAAGTCTCAAAAGGATCCCATTTTGAATATGTGTTAGTCTCGCTTATTTAGCATTTCCTGATAAGGGGCTGCTCTTCATAAACTACATAGAATGTTTTGAGAGGTTTTAGACCCATCCTACATTTTTTGAATGTGCTGAAAGTCCTTAACGTACGAAAATAATAAGAAAAATACGCGAAATATCAACTATTTCGTTAATATTTTCCTTTGGGCTGACATATACTACCCCAGCAAAGCTGGATATCAAATTGAAATTGAAATTTGCTGTTGTGATGGAACTTATTTTGAATACCCAAGTTGGTTAACTCTAAAATGTTCTTAACGTGTCTGAAATTCTACGCTAATCTGGGAATTTCCCTGGATTTGCTTAAAATTTCCCGCAAATTTTCTGAATTCCATGGAACATTCCTGGAGAATTTTTGCTGGAGCTTATTCGTGGAGTTCTCCGGTCTTTCCTTTACTGTCTATCGTACTGACCGTTCTCGAGAAACGAGCCCCAAAAATTCTGGTGGTGGAGTTCTACTTGCTGTTCGATCAGTCTTTCAATCTCGACAGCTCAATCCACCTAGGTGTACTGGTGTCGAACAACTGCGGGTGTCCATCTCTCTACAATCAAAAGTAGTTTTCGTCTGTGTGCTGTATCTGCCCCGGACCGCCTTGGAGATTCCGAGTTGATTGATCAACACTTAAACTCTCTCTTTTGGATCATATCCAAGATGAATGCTAATGACGACATCCTCGTAATTGGTGATTTCAATCTATCGTCTATCAAATGGTCCTGGAATGACGCCGGGTTCCTCCATCCTCAATCCAGCTGCTCAAACATTGCACCTTTGGCAGCAGCTCTTCTTGGCAGCTACAGTACTGCTGATCTCCTGCAACTAAATAGTGTTTTCAATGAGAATGATAGATTGCTTGATTTATGGTTTCTTAGTCGTGAGGTTACTTCTAGTTGCTCGATTTATGACGCACTAGTTAAGCGTTGTAGGCATTATCCACCTCTGCAGATATCATTAAAATTGAACCAGGCAACTCTTTTCGTAACACTATGGATAGCATTTCATATGACTACTGGAAGGCTGACTTCGATGGAATGACTGCCTTTTTCGAGAGCGTAAACTGGGATGAAGAACTGCGTGATCATGACGTAAATATTTCCTCGACTATTTTTACGAATATTGTTGTTTATGCAATCGATCAGTTCGTACCGAAGAAAACTCCAATCATACCAACTCACCCTCCATGGTCAAACCCTCGTTTGAAACGTCTTAAATCATCTAAACGGGCTTCCTTGAAAAAGTTTTGCAAACTGCGAACTGACGTGTCGAGAAATAAATACATACGCATTAACAAGCAGTACAAGCAGCTCAACAAGCAACTCTACCTATAACACCAGCGTCAACTACAAAATAAGCTCAAAACTAATCCTAAAAGCTTCTGGAATCACGTGAAAGATCAACGAAAGGAATCGGGTCTGCCCTCTACGATGTTCAGCGGGGATTGAGAAATGTCTAATGTGGATGGATCTATTCAGATCACATTTCTGCAGTGTTTTCGTCAACGAGGAGCTCTCTGACGAACACGTTTCAGATGCAGCAAGTGAGGCTCCCATACGTTCAGTCGTTGAATCTCATCCACCTTTATCGAGAGATGACGTTCAAACAGCAGGCCTTCGCTTAAAAAATTCTTCCACTATTGGCCCGGATGGAATTCCATATGTGGTGATTAAAAACTGTATACGAGCCTTGAGTGCACCACTAGCATTTATATTCAACCTCTCGTTGAATTCTGGAGTCTTCCCTGATGGCTGGAAGAATTCTTTTGTTCCTGTCTTCAAGAAAAGCGATAAATAGTCATTAATCAACTGCGGTTCTGTGCGCAGTTTCAAAACTTTTTGAGCTGATAGTTTTGGATTATTTTAAACACCCTTGCTCCAGTTACGTTGCCTCCGAACAACATGGATTTATGCAGAAGAGATCCACTGTATCAAATCTCGTGCAATACACATCTTTTATAATTCGCGAGCTTGAAAAAGGCGAACAAGTTGATGCTATCTACACAGATCTCTCTGCTGCGTTTGATAAAATGAACCACAAGATTGCTGTTGCCAAATTAGAGCGATTAGGCTTCCATGGTCCCCTTCTTAATTGGCTTCGTTCTTACCTCACCGGTCGTCAAATGTCAGTGAAAATATCTGACCGTATTTCTCAGTCGTTTCCGGTTTCTTATGGTGTACCCCAAGGTAGTCATATTGGGCCGTTCGTATTTCTGCTGTATTTGAATGACATTCACTATTCAATCAGGTGTCCGAAGCTATCTTATGCGGATGATTTTAAACTGTATTTTGTCATAAAGGATCGTAGGGATTCAGTTTTCCTTCAACAACAGCTGGACGTTTTTGCTACTTGGTGTCACAAGAATAGGATGGTATTGAATGCTTCCAAATGTTCCATCATCACTTTCTGCAGAAAAAAAAAATCACCCACCTGCTTTACATACAGCCTTCATGGTCAGACACTGAATCGGGAGACTACAGTCAAAGACTTAGGAGTCATGTTAGATTGTCAACTAACCTTCAAGGAGCATGTGTCATATGTCGCCAGTAAAGCATCTTCTCAGCTTGGCTTTATTTTTCGCTTTGCTAAAGATTTCAGAGACACTTCGTGCTTGAAAACGCTTTATTGTTCACTAGTCCGTTCGACACTGGAATACTGTTCAGTAGTTTGGGCGCCGTTTTACAACAATGCCACGAATCGACTTGAGTCTATTCAGAGCAGATTTGTTCGCTATGCTCTTCGTTGGCTACCCTGGAGAGACCCTGTAAACCTCCCTAATTATGAAAGTCGTTGTAACTTGCTGAGCCTACAACTTCTCAGTGCTCGCCGTGACGTCGCTAAGGCTGTCTTCATCGCCGATCTCCTGCGTTCGGACATTGACTGTTGTCCACTTTTGCAACAGCTCAACATTAATATAAGACGAGTCAATTTGCGAACCCACTCTTTCTTTACGATCCCGACTTCTCGCACAAACTATGGTGCAAACGAACCAATTACTAGCATGTGTAAAATTTTCAATAAATGTTATAACTTTTTTGACTTTAATGCTTCCCGTGCTAGCCTTAAGTATTTATTCTATAATGTTTTATCATCCTGATTAAGTAAAGATAAATGTTTCCTGATTAAGTTTAAGTATATATGTAGCTGTAGGATTTAATGTTATCTGTTGATACGAAAAGAAGAGGTTTTCCGCTTACTTGAGAAGGGGCAAGTTTGGTCCTTCTGAAGTGGGCTTTTCCCTCTCAAATAAATAAATAAATAAATAAATAAATAAAAGGTAGTTGTAGCCGTAGTTTGTTCTGTGGTATGGGAGCTGAGTTCCAAAACCGTCGGTGAGGAATGCTTAGCGAAATCTGTGCGGCTCGACTGTTCAGGGCAGTCGATAGATCCTCCAATGAAATCGAAGACAAAAGCCGCTGCATCGTTACTGGTCTGACAAAATAGTGGCTCCAATCCTATGAGATTGCATCGGTTTCTGCAAGTTGTCTCAGTGCAAAACCTAAGAACCTTTTCTGAACCCGTTCTATTGTGAGAACATGAGCTACATAATAAGAAGCCCAAATCAGAGCAGTATACTCCAGAATACTACGAACCTACGATCTCTGAACTTCCCTGAAGCTTTGAAGACTTTTTGAAATGTCTTTACTTTCCTGAAATTTCTGAAACTGTTTTAAGTTCCCTCAATTTTTTGGAATCTAAATGAAATAATTAACATAGGTCTGTGATTTTCAGCAAAGTTTTCTTATAGATCACCATGTTCCACTTGCCTTCTAGAGTGTGGCTTGTGCAGTTGAGACTTGGCCTTCATAAGACCCCTTTCTGTCCTGAGAAAAATCATAAAAATCAAAGATTTTCTCTGAAGTTCTCGAAATTTTGCTGAAGTTCATGGAAGTGCCCTTAAATTATCGTCACTAATTCAAAACTTTTCCAATGGTCTAGATTGTCATGATGTCATTAGAACAGTCTGAATGATTTCTGAATTTCCTTACAGTTCTCAGTATTTTTATAAGTTGCTTCAATTTAACTGAATTTAATTGAATTGCCTTTTATTATCCATAATTTTCCTAAAGTTTTGAAAACATCATGAACGCTCACGGAACTTTGCTTTAAATCACTAATTTTCCCTGAACTTCTCTGGACATCCCTGAAGTTTACCATGCTTCTCTGAAGTTTCTCAATATTCATAATTCCATGACACTTATGATTTTTTCGGTTCATTTATAGCATTCTAGGAATATCCCATAATTGCTTTTTGTAAGCCTATGCAATTTTCATTCATTTAATGGGCTTGCTCTTAAAGGTTTCTACGATAGTGAAACAAGTCTGGTTAGGACTAGTAGTACAAATAGAGGCCCTTATTACGGGTGTCACTTCACGGTGAATACGAAGTGCAACGACATGCTGTCGTTCACGGTGAAGTGATTTCCGAGCAAATCAAATGAGAATCACTTCACCGTAAGTGAAAAGTTGTCGTTTCAATTCGTATTCACCGTGAAGTGATACCCGTAATAAGGTCCAGAATGAATATTTATTCCGTACAAATTCAAGGCTTAATATAACAACATCCCCTCCTTAACCATGCATTTGTAGAACTCCCAAGTTCTTTACAGCTGCAGAACATCTACCTTCTGAAGTTCGAATTTCACATGCTGTAACGAGATCGCCTTCTTCTGCTGCTCCCATACGAAGTGGTGTCTGAGATCAATATGTTTACTTCGAGGCGAATAACCAATCTCTTTCTATGCCAAACAAATCGCACTTCAATTGCGCTTGACAGAACCATGTACTCCGTCTCAGTAGTTGATAACGTCACAGTGGGTTGTCGCCTACAACTCCACGTCACTGATCCTCCACCGTACTGAAATGTGTATTCCGTGATCGAACGAGGATTCTCAGGG